GCATATTGATGGTATTTTATCCCGTGCCTCCGAATGATCTCGCCCAGCGGTTTCATGTATATGTTAAATAGTAGATCGACAGGTAGCCAGTGCAGCTCGCGGAGGATGGGTGTAAAGTGGAGTTAGTTAATGTGTCTGTGTTTCCTATCTGGTCTATCTTGCAAGGTTGACAACAGCCAGCTTTCCCCCATAACCATGACTGTAAACTTTTCAATAAATACAGCAAGGAATGACTGAGAAAAGAGAGAAAAGGGGGGTTCTGAAATAGCCAAGTCAAAGCCTAGCTCTCAATTCCACTAAGATGCTGTGGGGTGATCATCTATAAAGCAGGGGAGCAATCTGCCTCCTGGATTTATTTTGATGCAGACGATTTTAAAAGAGAAGGTACAATTGGGTTTTCTTTTTTGTTTAATAGAGAAACAAATTGAGTAATCTCCTGGATCTTTGCTTTTATACATGACAATGGCACTGAGATTTTTAAATGCCCGAAGATGGAAGGACTTGTAAAAACATACAATGGAACAGAGGTGATATTCAGCAGATTCTGACCAGTTCTGGAGAACCGGTAGCGGAAATTTTGAGTAGTTCGGAGAGCCGGCAAATACCACCTCTGATTGGCCCTGCCCCCATCTATTCTCAGCCTCCCAAATCTCAGCTGATCAGGAGGGAATGGGGATTTTACAGTATCCTTCCCTTGCCATGCCCACTCAGCCATGCCCACAGAATCGGTAGTAAATTTCTTTGAATCCCACTACTGCAATGGAGGAATGGATGGTGAAATTGATGGAATTGGCAGAGATTGCAAAATTGACAGCCTTGATAAACTTTATTTCTGCTTGGAAGCCATCATGGGCCTTTTTGTGGAAACTGAAAGAAGATTTTAGGATTTGATCATTAGAATTCTATGGGACTATCAAAACAATGTAGACAAATATTCACCTTAGTGAAACTTTCATTTCCTACAGGAGATGAGGCTAACTAGGCTGCCTGCTTTGCCAAAACAAAGAATTTCCAGGCAAGCCTTTTCTTCTTACCTGCAGAGAAAGAGTCCCTGTGAGGAAAAAGAGCACCAAGGCCATCGACCCACAGCCTTTCCACAGCAACGGCCTCCTTCCATACTGTTCAATGGTAAATATCTGGAGAGGGGAAATAAGGGAAACACGGGCAGATTTCCAGGTATCTAAATTCAAATGATAGGTGTCAAGCAGAACCTTTATATTTAAATTCAAATGACACTTCAGTCCTTTTTTCCTTTTGGAGAATTCTGGACCAAGCTCCTCCGGTCTCTCAACTCCATGGAATTGCATGGTCAGAGAGCTCCATCCAGACTGGGGTTTAGCCCAGGAGTGTGGACCTTTTCCTCCAAGGGGTCCAAGGGGAGCAGGCCCTGCTAGGATGTCCAGTATGAAAGGACCCAGGTTGACCATAAAGCTTTGCTGAACTTTGCAGGCAGTCAAAGTGGTCCTAGCTAGAGTTTGGGCTTGCTACCTTGTTCTCTAAGCAGAGATGCATGCTGGGTTTCTGGGGAATCATGGAGGAGGGTGTGAGAAGAATAGTGACCAATGCAGAAGAAGATTCATAATGGCAACATAACATTGGGAGAGGAGTGAGGTTTTCAGAGTAAAATGAACTGTTTAGAAAGGTCTTACACAGATGAAAGATGAGAAGAGCTCAGAGAAGCCGATGCCCAGGGCGATGTAGGGGATAAGTCTCTCTTCTAAGCCTGCATTCTGAAGCACTTCAAAAGCATAGAAATAAACCTAAGTGGAAAAAAGAAGATGATAATAATTGCCAAGAAACAGTGAAGATCTGCCCCTGCCTCAGAAGCTCAGTGCTACGGTCCCTTGTGAAGGCCGGCCCCCCACCCCCAATCTGCTCACAAGTTTCTGCAGCTCAAACTCGCACACTGAAGGGGATCGGAGAGGATGGATGGGGGGAGCAGCTGAAGGGCAAATGTGCCAAATCTGGCCAGGCTTGTTAAGCAAGGCTGGTCCTTTCTCTACAGGGCACTGAAGTTATGCTACCCACCGAGGTGGCTGGTGGGCAAAAGACCCCTCACCTCCCAGACTGTCGCAAGATGGGAGATGGCTTAAAGAAGTGACATTTTCCCCTCTTGAAATCCTTGCAGGAAGAGGAGGAGACCTCAGGAGTGGGGGGGGGGAACAACTTTGTTAGCCCTGAGGCAGAACTGCTGTGGAATGGGATGACGTGTCATGGTTTACTTGCCACAGACAACTCATTTAAGGTGACCAGATTTTCAGATTGGTAAAGAGGGACACCTTTGACCGGGGCGGGGGGGGGCTTGATTAAAAATTTTATATGGAGCAACAAAAATTTTCATACAACGCAAAAATAGTATTGTAATATTTTTTTAATTTCATCATAACTACAATTTACAAATATAAATTGTAACTGTTGCCAAACAT